CAATACTATCTGCACTCAGACTTTATTTCATTACTAAAGAATAATTACTAAAGAATTGTGAAAGACGGACAATGTGTTTCAATCACAAATCTTGATAATGTCGGCCTCATTTCATCTCTTCTCCGATTATCTCTTCATCTCTTGTCCGACCCACTTTCATCTCTTCTCCAACCATCGTTTCATCTCCTCTCCGATTATTATTTTTTTTCTAACTATCTGCAGCTCTCTAAGAACTATATTTCCGTAGTTGTTGACGCGATATCACCCCTGGTAATGTATACCGCCAGGGGTACCACGCAGCAAACTCTAATAGCGTGATAATTAGTGTGATAATTAAAGTAAGGAATTACAAGAACTCTTAGTGTTCGATATCCAGGTATATTGATGGAACATGACTGGTATGTTGACAGTACCCTCCTTGTTCAGGAGGATACTGTCAGTGTTTGTGGTGACGGCCTTGGAATGTTAAACTAGTATTTGACATAATTTTGACACAATTAAGCTCCATTTTGAAACAATTTTGACACAATTAAGTTGAACCCCAAATTGTTTATTTGTAGTCTCAAATTGTGCGTGGCTTGGGCATCAGTTTTAGATTATACTTTCTATTCTTATCATTATTTTCAATCTTATTTTATGATGAATCTCGCATTTTGCTGTAGCTGAAAATTCATCAAAATAATAATAATTTCATCTCCAGACCACCCACCCTTCTGTAATTCCATGTAATTTCTCTTGAGCCTCAAATTAATCAGTAGAGAGTAGGCTTAAGTATCCCTCATTCAATCCCAAATATTAATTTGAAATATTGAACGTGCGTCTGGTCTGAATATAAAACACAGTTGTAGGTATTGCTTGCGGAGTAGGCGCTCACAGCTCATTGCTTTCTTTGCAGACATTGAACTGAGATCATCGCTCGTAGCCTCACTTAACTGTCATTTTCAAAACCAATCGTCTTTTTTATTCACTTCTTCGTTTATAAACGCCTGACTGAGAGCACTGTTCCTGTAAATTATCACCTACTCCGCAAGCAATACGGACAACACATGATATTGATCATTAATTAACGGTCATGGTCGTGTTGTCTGGCCTATACTCTTGTAGATTTGTACCAGGCCTTGTTTTCATTAATCATCCGTGACAAAACAAGTTTCCTCGGGTAAAGTTTTGTAACGAGTTAAGGTAATTATATTCTCCTTCTCTTACTTTGTGTAGTCAGATATACAACGAGGCTTGTTCCATAGTATCTTGCGTGATGCAACGGCCAAAAACAACTTTGTTCTTATATATAAACAAGAGCCAGGAGACGACCCGGAGCAGGGTAATCAGGATGGTACCAAAAATCCTAATTTTGATTTTAGTAATTCGTAGAAAAGTAATCCCTCCCCACTAATTGCCCGGTACGATTTAAGAAGCCTTGCGATAACTCAATCCGGTGACTTGATTTGTAACATTCCGTATCAGGTATCTCGCTTTATCTTGATTTGTAACATCTCGTTTTATATCTCCTTGTTGTATATATCAACAAATAGCAGCTAGGTAAAACTGAGTAAAGTATTAACTTTCTAAATAAGTTTATAATTGTTCCGGAAAGTTTCTAAAAGTAAAGTATTAACTTTCCATATAAGTGTATATATAGTAGTTCTCGGTTGTTTCTTGATGGCGTGCTTCTGTTTGGCTTTACTCAGCGACTGTTTCACGTCAAGAACTTTCCGCCGTGCACATTTACCCTCTATTCCTACTTACTATTCCGACTTGTTTCGTAAGAGCTTTTATAGTAAAGTAACTCTATTTTCGGCCTCCTGGGAGTCAAGGGCTGGGTTCAAGTCTGCTTCAGAGAATTATTCTGACAACAACAGCTGTCGGATACAGAAACTTACAAATTACACTGTAGTTTAAACACCTGTTCAGCGGATTTGTCAACCCTATGGAAGTTTTGTGAGAGTATAAACACGGTTAGAGTATCTCGCCCGCTCATAAATCATTAATCCCAATTGTTTGCGGAGGTCTTTTAATTTATTTTATCCGATTTACTGTTAGGTCTCAGCTCAGAATTTTATAGTTTTAAAGTTCTGACCAAATAGTTTATATTCAAAGATCATACAATAGTTCACCGACTAATTTTCAATGTGGCTTCCCCGATTGAGACCTGAAGAGGTATCTGTAAAGACTGTTTGTCCCTGGTGCAGCATTCCTTTTAGCATTCCAGCTCCTGATTTATAGGTACACTGGGTTATTTAGCTGTTATTAATTTACCAGATCTGTATTAGAAGTTCCTTTGTCTGGTGCTATAACTAGCCAAGTTACTGGGGGGGGGGGGGGGGGGGGGGGGAGGGGGGGCGCAAAATCGTCGTTTGAATGTGGGCCAATTTTGAAAAAACTTAACTACAGTACTAACAAAACTGCGCGTTTTGCTCTAGAAACCTACTTTTTTAGAGATTTTACAGGCGTATCCTCTAAAATAATCTAATTTGTCCAATTTTAGGGAGGGGCGCCAAAATGAAAGGGGGCGCTTTTTCAGCGGTGGGCGCCAACAGGCAACGTTACGCGACTGGGATAGTGTTACTTTGAAACTAGTGAGGCATAGTTTTACTACAACCTTGCATTTTCTTAATTAACCTGATAGTTCCCTGTCACCTTGTTCTTGTCATCTTTCTATTGAGATATCACTGAAATTACATTTTCTAGAGGCCTCACTAAACTGCACAGTAAACTCTGTTTCTCCGACTTCTTTGGAAACGTTTTATAAGGTTGATCCTGATCACTGCTCAAGTTTCAAGACTTAAACTGTTGTTATTATTCATAAACTCTGTTACTGGTAGCAGTGTTACTACTAGACGCAGTTTTACTATACGGCTGGATCTTTGCTTTAACGAGAGCTAAATGTATCAGTATAGTAGACTGGTATTCTTACTAAACATTGAATTCTCTATCTCCAAACTATTCAGGACATTTTGAAGCTACCACTTTTCTGAGAAGGTTGTGACAACTCTAGCAGATCCAAACAACTAACACCGCCACACTTATCCACACACGTATCTACACACTACAACAGGATGGTAACCCCACTAACTGAACCGCTGTTAGAGACGGTGTCAGGACCGCTGCCGCCCCTCATAGCTCAGTTTACTCTATCCAATAAAACCCACACTTGAGCTAGTAGTACCTCGCATAATAAATAATAATAAATCCACACTTGACCTGAACTAATACTAATGGCCGCCCTGTGAAGTATTCATACCGAGTGATGAGTGATGATACCTTGACAGTTGGCGGTCTGGTAACTTAACCAACCTTTCAACCAGTCTTTTGGTTGCTGTTTTAGTTCAAAGTGTGTTTCACATTGGTTGACGAGTGGTCTTTGAGCCGAGTAAATCAGGATTTTCATTTTAGCTTTACAGTACTTGTTTGGTCATTGAACAGTTATTCCAGCCTTCTGGAATGTTTCAACCAGACAGTGAGTCAGAGTGATAGATGTGGTAAGGGTGATAACGTTACTCAAACTTTCAAACTCAGAGCAACCACCATCCTCTCCACAGCAACCACCATCATCTCACAGCAACCACCATCCTCTCACAACAACCACCATCCTCTCCACAACAACCACCATCATCTCCACAGCAACCACCATCCTCTCACAACAACCACCATCCTCTCCACAACAACCACCATCATCTCCACAGCAACCACCATCCTCTCCACAACAACCACCATCCTCTCCACAGCAACCACCATCATCTCCACAGCAACCACCATCATCTCCACAGCAACCACCATCATCTCCACAACAACCACCAACCTCTCCACAACAACCACCATCATCTTCACAGCAACCACCATCATCTCCACAGCAACCAGCATCCTCTCCACAACAACCACCATCCTCTCCACAGCAACCAGCATCCTCTCCACAGCAACCACCATCCTCTCCACAGCAACCACCATCGTCTCCACAGCAACCACCATCCTCTCCACAGCAACCACCATCCTCTCCACAACAACCACCATCCTCTCCACAGCAACCACCATCATCTCCACAGCAACCACCATCCTCTCCACAGCAATCACCATCATCTCCACAGCAACCACCATCCTCTCCACAGCAATCACCATCCTCTCCACAGCAATCACTATCCTCTCCACAACAACCATCATCCTCTCCACAGCAACCACCATCATCTCCACAGCAACCACCATCATCTCCACAGCAACCACCATCATCTCCACAGCAACCACCATCCTCTCCACAGCAATCACCATCATCTCCACAGCAATCACCATCATCTCCACAGCAACCACCATCCTCTCCACAGCAATCACCATCATCTCCACAGCAATCACCATCCTCTCCACAGCAACCACCATCCTCTCCACAGCAATCACCATCCTCTCCTCAGCAACCACCATACTCTCCACAGCAACCACCATCATCTCCACAGCAACCACCTTCTTTTATTTTCACGCGGTCACAGTCATTGATCTCATAATTTTCCCTGCGTTTTTCCCAGAGTGGTTATAATTTTCTCGCCACTACCGACATTCGACAACCATGTATTTTTTAAGAAATGACCGTCTCTGTTTAAAGTGCTAATTTAATAAAGCGGTTGTATTGTCTAGTTATTATGCCGCAAGCAGAGACTGAGAAGTAATATGGTGCCAGATGTACCACATATCATATTATTATCATGCGATACATTTATAGAAAGTGTTTTAGACAGTGTTTTTATTTTTACCTTTCCAGTATTTTATATTATTTCAGGTATTTAATTATTTTAAATCATAGTGACACTCCTTTTAATTTACTACATTATTATGGTGCGATATTTTGGACAGCGTCTGCAGAAATTACTTTTAACAATTTATTTCCAACTTGTTTATAATTCCCTCATATCTTTAAATTATTTAAAACTAATTCCGGCAGATTCTTTGATCTGTGCTCTTTGTTAGACACAATAGACAAGTTAGGAGTAAGCGGTTTCCACAAAATACGTTTATAGTGATTTAGTGCTTAAAGTGACACTTTCAAATGAGTTTTCGTATGAGCTGAAATACTTGTTCCATTACGTCTACTGTTTCTACTCCCAGTACGTGCTCTACAAGGTTATCCTGTAACTATACTTGGCGCTTGCAGTAGACGCACTGACAGGTACAATTTAATAAAGGAGCAGATAAGCTTGGTTACTACTTTACTCTCTAGTCTCTGTTAGCATCATACTCGGATAGTACACACTTCACATAGTACAGCCTACTTCTTTACTTTTTACTGGGATATTGGGATGCCCAACTTTGGTGCTTACTTACAATTTACATTCTATTATAGTATTATACTTGGGTATTTGCTTATTTTCCTGTTATTGTTCACGTTGTGTACTAGAGCCAGTTAATATCCAACTTTTGTTGATTGATATATAATATATATTTAATTGAAGCCGCAGTAATGAGAAAACTGAAAAGTGTTATATTTCAGGGTCTGTTTAGAGTCCCGATCGCATGGCGCATATTTGTCAGCTAATTCTTGAAGTTGTTACAAAAATATGTTCCCCACATTTCTTGCTTGAATATTTTTAGTTTTAGAATACATTTTCCATAAGTAAATATTTGCCACCTTTTTCAAGTAAAAAACAATTTAGTCGTCGATTTTAAGCATCAAAAATATATTTTAAAGTTTTAAGCTGTTCTTAACATTCTTTTAAAACCTTTTTCATACTTTTACTTATTTCCATCGTTTGGGCCATCTTGGATTCCTTTTTTTTCACGTTCTGTACATAGTTGTGAATATCTTATATATTTCTAGCTCATTTACTATCTCCACTAGCTCCCTATATCTCTGCCACCTGTTATGAGAAGAACCAGTCTGCTCAGAAGAACCAGCACTACCGGTTAATGCATATTCCCAACTTCTGGAAACTTCTAAAAGGCTCCAGCAAGGAACTTCCTCCCACTCCCAACACAAACCCCAGGGTATTCACTAAACGTAGGAAGGTAGGGAGGGCCAGCAGTGATCGTAAGCATGGTAAGCATGGTAAGCATGGTAACCACCGGGACATGGAACTGGAGATCAAGGAGCTGGCATCTGGGCTGGCATCTGGGAACCCAGAGATTTCTGTCTTTATGAAGTATAAGTTACCCGAGTTCTCTGAGGTCCAGAGATACGATGTTGAGAAGATCCAGTTCGACCCAGTATTTAGGTATTTGTGCGAGCAATGTGTATTATTATTATTTGAAAATATGTTATTTTTTTCTTTGCAGTAATGTTCAAATAAAAATAAATGTCATCGTTTCCCCTTAAATTTAAGAAATGTCCCAATATTGGTGCCGTCCCTTTTTAGTGCAAAATATTATTAACTGCATTCTGCAGCTTATTAATTGCAAGCGCGAAATAGGACCTTTTCCCACCAATATAGGCGGAGGATGACGGTTCACCTTTACAGATTATTGAAACGATTGGAGATTTTTGATTTTGTGAAAGGTGTTATTGTGTTTAGGTGATATCAATCAACACCTTCTGAAACTCGTACTCAAAAATAGAAATTCGAAACATTTAATTTAAAACCTATTACTGAAAATTCGCAAATGTAAGCAGATCATTAGCCACAGTAATCTTAATTACACGTACGTGGGAATTTCAGAGCTGTTTTCAGTTGTTCAGTTAATTGTTTGATAACGACGGATTAAACTTTAAAGTAGGTACTTTATAACATACCACAGGGAGTGGTACTTAGTGGCTAGATCATACTGGTTAACAGCAGTACATATAAACGTCCGTCCTGGACTTCACTTACGGTTACTACCTACCATCAAATCACCAGACCTCAGACTAGGAAACTGTACTAAAATGCTCCTCTCTTCCTCTTTCTCGCATGGTAACAGTGGTTGGAGAGCCATTAAAGGGGACTAAAACCTTAGTATCCTTGGTAACCCAGAGCTGGTTTACAAGGACTGGTTAAAGCCTAAAAGGAGCAGTACTTGCCGAGGTTTCTACTGTTCCTCCGAAACCGCGAAACGTAAATCTATATCTGGCGGTTTCCCGGCATTTCCTGGTCTGCATTGTCTGATAGCTGTGTTATACTGGGCGTTAAGTGGTTCTATAACTGGGTAATACTCTAATTGGACTGACATTGTATTTAACGTTACGACGCAGCCATTGTAGAGAAGACAAGTAATTGGTGGACAATGTCACTGATCACATAATGGTTGGACCAATTAACTCCTTATTCGGGCATCACGTGATGTTAACTCTTCTCCCCACGGCTCATCTGCATCATCGTTTATACTTGCCCCGTTGTCTTCATTTGTTTGACATTGACGTGCACATATATTTACCATGACTTTTAGCTTCTTCGGGTTTTGGAAGCCACCCAAATACAGCAAACCAGTACAGAAAGTACAACCAGAAAAGGACGCGGCAGAGGAAAAGAAAGAGTTAAGACTGAAGAGGCTGAGGAGACAGATTCAGGTGTCTTTGAGCTATGGGGGAGCTGGAGGTTTCAAGAATAAGTCTATTAAAGAGATGACGGAGATGAGGATTGATGTGGAGAAGTTGAGGAGGGGATGTTTCTTTTCTACTGATAACAGTATCTACTCGGATATCGCTAGGTGCGGCTTTTATCAGTGTGCGACAAACAACACGGTCTACTCGAATATCGCTATCAGTACTTCACTGATCGATTGTATTGATTGTACACCGGGACGGTTCCCGGGTGACCAATGACCAATTCTAATAATGAGAAATAGATACTGGAAAAAACGGAAATGTTTTATAATTTTTAGCCTTATCAGGAGTCTTTATTATGATTCTTTCATTAAATCTAAATGATGTAAGTTTTGTGTTGGATCGCGCGACGTTTTTCGAGTAAACTTGAAATTTGAAAATTTATGATCGGTAGTCGTATAACAACCAAGAAAAACAGCTGTTCGATATAAAATTGACAGCAAATTTTCTAAATAAAAGATGTAAAAATCCCAAAAATGATTATTTATAACAATTTAGTGGTTGCTACGCTGACTTTAAAAGAGTTTCTCAGTCTGTCCATTGAGAGTGGACTCTAGACTTGATCTTACTTTTCAGTGTACGAATTGAGATGTCGTCGACATCACCGCTAATAATAAAATAATAACCTAAACAGGTGCCTTAATTAGGAGCATAATTTATTTAGCTACATGAATTTAAACAATGTTTTTTACAGGCAGATATTCGACATGTACGATAAAAATGGAGACAATGTTATAAACGTGGAGGAGCTGAGGGGGATTTTAGAAATATTGGGCTACTCTCCTTCTCCTGAAGAAGTGAAAACTATTTTAGGTAATTAGCGGGGCAATTAGCGGGGTAATTAGTTAATTATTTGTTAATTAGATAATTTATTGATTAATAAATTGATGGATTTGTTAGTTGCTGGGGAAATGGTTTTGTTAATTTATTAAACCGTTCGAATTTGGTGAATTTTGTACACAAAGTTTGAGGCAGTTATGCCGCACAATTACAAATTATACTAAGTAACAATTTGATTATACTAATATCTGATGATCTAACTATGCTAATTACTTCAGACCGGTTTGACCAGGATAACTCGGGGACGATTGATTTTGACGAGTACTTGGTTTTAATACAACATTGGATAGAGCAGGACGAGGAACAGATATACGAAGCTTTTAAGGTAATTATTTAATTGCCTAATTAAGGTAATTCTCTGTTTTGGCGATTATTGAAATATCAATTATTATTCATTTGCTCATTGGCAATAACGTGTTCATTGTTCAGTGATTCACTTACTGATAAATATTTATATTTGGCTGGAGAATCTAATCAATTTACATCGGTATTCAAATTATCAGACCCTTGAAGCTCAACTAATTACTAATTAGTTTTATTGGTATCCAGCATATTTATAGTTCTATCGCTTCAGGTTTTTGACAGAGACGGAGACGGTTTTGTGTCAGCACAAGAACTGAAAAGGGCTTTAACACAGTAAGCAATTTACTCCAGTTTAATATGATATTCCCTGTAAATCCAATACAATAATAGTACTCTATGCTAAATCTGTCCTCACACGTGCTCAATCTGTCCTCAAACGTGCTAAATTTGTCATCATACGTGCTAAATCTGTCCTCACACGTGCTAAATCTGTCCTCACACGTGCTAAATCTGTCCTCACACGTGCTAAATCTGTCCTCACACGTGCTAAATCTGTCCTCACACGTGCTAAATCTGTCCTCACACGTGCTAAATCTGTCCTCACACGTGCTAAATCTGTCCTCCCGTTCTCAATGTCAATCATAAGTGGGCTGGGTCCTACATGTCAGAGACACTGTGCGATTATGATTAACAAGCTGGTGCTATTTGTTCTAAATGAAATGTTGATGACGTCATAAGACATTGCAATGACGTTATTATGAAGTCATTATGACGTCATTATGCCTTGTTTATGACGTATTATCTTCAAGGTACGGTGAGCAGTTTACGGAGGACGAAGCTAACGAGTTCTTCAATATGATGGACACAGATGGTGACGGGGTAAGCTATTTTATTAAGCTATTAGTTAACTTACTAGGTTATTCTACTAGTTGACTTACTAAGTTATTCTACTAGTTTACTAACTAAGTTAGTTTATTATTTTACTTGAAAAGTCAGTTTATTGGTTTACTGACAAGCATAGCTTATCTATTTACTCGAAAATTCAGTTGATGGAGTAGTTCGCTGTTTATTACTTATTAGTCTCATGATTGAAATACTGATAGTTGGATAATATCCGGTTGGAAGAGACAAGGACAGTTTTAACACTTTCAACATAACTATATAACAATTAATTTGAGCCTGAAGATGGCGTTTAACGCCGAAAATTTGCCTACATTCCTAACTTCCTGTTTCATTTGTCCTTGTCTCTTTCAACTGGATATTATCCAATTACTATCAGTATACATAGAATATGATATTATTATATTATAGTTTATGTATATTTATACTTTACTTTACTTTAATACTTACAACGCTACTATATATTACAAATCATGAATAACAAATAATTTAAGTATATTTTGTATCACGCCGTGACCCCCCATCGTCGTTGCACTATAGTACTGTAGAGTTTCTACGATACTGGGTATGACACTGTATATCATGATACAATCATTGATTGTAAAGGTTTACATGACCGACAGTTGAGAAGATCAGTTGCATGTTTTAGTGACTTATTTGGCTAACTAATGTATAAATATGTAATATAAGTATAACAAATATATAGTTTAAGTCGTTGTTACGAGGGAGAGACACGCTGTAACAACACTTACTAGAATCCTTACTACTCCGTATCCTTGTTATTTAGACCTGTAACAACCATCTAAACAGTTCACTTACCAATCAGACACGTTCTGAACGCTATTTCACCTCATTTCACCTCATTTCACCTCACTTCACCTCATTTCACCTTTTAGCTAATCATTTAACTTGTTAGTTAAGTAGCAGCTCCGGAGTAGAACGAACTGTTTAGAACCAAGGTAGTAGAACCAATGTCTGCTTTTCAATATAAATCGTGTTTTTATAGATCTAGATACTGGGAGGTTAACAGTACTTTTTTGTACACGTCACACGTGACCGCGGGTTATCAGTTTCTAACATTAGCCAATCAAAAACCAGAAACTATGTCACAATGTGAACTCATCACGTCATGTCAAAACAAATCAGGGTCCAGGTTTCTTTGAAGGTTACTTTGAAAGTTTGGGGTTCCTCGGGGGTTAATTTCAGGGGTTCTACTCTAAACATGGTTATTACTTTATTAATGTTGATTTGATAGATTAACCTTCATTCTTCCACCAGGTAATCAACTATGAAGAGTTTGTGGAATACCTCAGAAGTATGCAAAAGTACAGCACAGAATAAAACGCTTGCAGAGTGAACAAGTGCTGACTGAACAGCTCACTTGCAACAACAGTGCTCTCAAACGCTTGCGGAGTGATTTTGTCATCGTTTGTCCAATCAGATAATCTTATCAGCTCAAGTAAAACCGGATGAATATAAATCGTGTCACATTCATCATATAAGTGGATGTAACAGAACGTGTCACAGAGATTACGGAGAATGTGTGACAGAACAAGACGAGCCAATCAAGACGACGAAAAGAGGACAAAACGACCGTCATAATTGTCACGTGACATTGTAACTTGGTCACGTGGTATTGTAACTTGGTCACGTGACATTGCTACTTTGTCAAGTGACATTGTAACTTGGTCACGTGACATTGCTACTTTGTCATGTGACATTGTTACTTTTGTCACGTGGTATTATTACTTTTGTCACGTGGTATTGTTACTCTTGTCACGTGGTATTGTTACTTTTGTCACGTGATGCGGAATGCGGGTATGTGGAACACTCTGTCAGTGGGTTAAGTGTGTATATAATCAGATGTTTATAAGAGATGGAAACAATCATGTCAAGAACGAAGCTCAGTTGCTACGCGTGCTACACGTGCAGTTGTGATGCTACACGTGCAGTTGTGATGCTACACGTGCAGTTGTGATGCTACACGTGCAGTTGTGATGCTACACGTGCAGTTGTGATGCTACACATGCAGTAGTGATGCTCCACGTGCAGTTGTGATGCTACACGTGCAGTTGTGATGCTACACGTGCAGTTGTGATGCTACACGTACAGTTGTGATGCTACACGTGCAGTTGTGATGCTACACGTGCAGTTGTGATGCTACACGTGCAGTTGTGATGCTACACGTGCAGTTGTGATGCTACACGTGCAGTTGTGATGCTACACGTGCAGTTGTGATGCTACACGTGCAGTTGTGATGCTACACGTGCAGTTGTGATGCTACACGTGCAGTTGTGATGCTACACATGCAGTTGTGATGCTACAAGTGCAGTTGTGATACTACACGTGATACTACATGTGCTGGGGATTAGTGGATGTCATTTTCAGAAGTTCTGGTATTGGATGATCAAATATACTCTTGTTGGAAGAGGATTGAAACTGGTTCATTCTGAATTATAAGAAGTCGTGATTCCATGAAAGAAGGCTTCCAGTTGTATAATTTTGCAACATTTTATACACGAAAGGCACCAAATTGCTATGTAACTTTATTTGACAACCACTTTTAATATCAAATTGTATGGCAAATGTAAGTGGTATTGAACAGCAATTCTTTTAACAATTTGATTTTACATTGATAGCTTTTAATTGTTTAACATTTAACAAGGATCGGTTGCTGAATCGGAAAAAGAATTTGAAGCATATGTTGTGTTGATGACATCAATTTTTTTTAACTGAGGCAATTCGATAATCGATGATTACTTAAGGGGGCATACACTTAAACTGTTTTTGATGCCACCCCCAATTTGACTTCATATTATAAAAGTATGGAAAGAAACAATACGTTTAGGCACATATAACTATATAAGGTACGTAAACAGTTTTTAAAAATAATTCCCTCATTCGGAAAAATTCACTTTTTATTTATCGTTATTAAGCTTTTGTTAACATTTGGTCACGTTTGTCGTTGTAATACCGATTTCCAAACATCAAAAAAATGTTTGGTGTATGTCCCATTAAATTGGAAATAACTCACTAGCTGAAGTAGCTTTGATACGTCTGATTAAAACTTGTAAGACTGGCCTTAAAGCTCGCAATTTTTGAGATTCAAGCAAATCGAGGATTTTCAAAGGGTGCAGGAGGTTCAGCTCGACAAAATACCGGTGGAAAATATTTCGTAGGCCCTAAAATGACTCCCCCATAGATTCAGTCTTAACCTTGAATTAGACAGAACTCACTAGCTGAAGTAGCTTTGATACGTTTGATTAAAACTTGTAAGACTGGCCTTAAAGCTCGCAATTTTTGAGATTCAAGCAAATCGAGGATTTTCAAAGGGTGCAGGAAGTTCAGGTCGACAAAATACCGGTGGAAAATATTTCGTAGGCCGTAGAATGACTCTTAACTCACTATAGCTGAAATAGCTCTGATACGTCGGAGTATAACCTGTAAGACTGTGGACTGGCCTCCAGCTCGTTATTTTTTAAATTCAAGCAAATCGAGGATGTTCAAAGGGTGTAAGATGTTCAGGTCGACAAAATACTGGTGGAAATTATTTCGTAGGCCGTAGAATGACTCATTTAGATCCAGTCTTAACCTTAAATTGGACATAACTCACTAGCTGAAAAAGCTATGATACATCAGATTAGAATCTGTAAGACTGGCGCCTCCGGCTCGCCATTTTTTAGATTCGAGCAAATCGAGGATGTTCAAATTGAAAGGGTGTAGGATGTTCAGCTCGACAAAATACCGGTAGAAATTATTTCATTAGCCCTAAAATACGGCTAAGGCATTGATAGCACACGATGTTACTTAAAGTTAAAGTTAATTAACGGACATATAGGTTCACCGTGATCATCTTGAACCTGTTTATGTAATTTAATTGTGACATCTCTATTTCTTATTCCTGTCATATTTGATATTGAATTAGAATGTTTTGAACTAAAAATAAACGTGCTGAACGACTTCCAAGTTCCGATGAGTCTTATAAATGCCTGGAAAAACAGTAAAGGGGTATACTACTACTAGTAAAGGGGGTGTAACTGTAAGGGCGACGGTTGTGCTTGCCAGCTCTGTGATGCGTTCTCAAGTCTTGGCAGAATTACCGAATTACAAAGTCAATACCGCCTGCAGTTAGTCAATAGTTATGTAGCAAGTCACGTGATGTTTTTTGCCGCCCAACACTTTTAGATGTTTGAAATCACAATCTTACAAAAAAACTTACTTTAAGTTTGGGTATAAAATTGAATAATGTTTCATAAACGTACAATCTCGGGAAATGATCACAGTATTTAAGTCGCAGTTAATCACTATCAGTATCAATTAGTATAATTGACTAAGAATTATAATTATACTAAGAGTTATAATTATACTAAGACTCTTAGTATAATTATAACTCTTTATCTCTAAATTATAACTTTTAGTAAGAGTTATAATTTAGAGATAAACAATAAAACTAGACAACTTGTTTACAAAATGACGGACTAATAATGATAAGTCGGGTAATAATAATTGTTTCAATCCGATTTTTTTCGAAAACCTTGTGCAACTTTTTAGAAATGATATTTCAAAAACGATTAAAAGTTATAGTTCCACCTAATTAGTTTTAAGTAATTACTCCTCGATCAAGACAGCTTCCCCGTCACTATTTGCTCGGTAAGCACAACTGAACCAGGCAGCAACTCTTCTTAAATACCCCAAATACCTCTCCCTCAATTCCTGTTTCCGGGATATGATGATGGCTGGGTAGACTGCAGCGTAGATTAGTGGCAACGTGAACTCAGCGAATCCGATCTGTAAAGGATTACATTGTTATCATCACAATCAATAATTTCAATAAATAATAAAAAACTTAACACCGTTAAAATATGATTTGCAACGGAAAAAAAGTCAAATTTGAGTAGCAAACGGGGATTATTGCTTCACTTAGTTTTACCTCTACGCCCAAATTCAGAAAATATTTCTCGCCGTGTTTCTCGTAAACGGTACTCCGATGATACATGAGCCAGGACAGGCAGAAGAAAAAAAAGGTGGCATTACAGACAAAGAATAGAGTTGACACCAGGAAGACGGTTCTTGAGACATGTCGAGCAGTGTTGGGGACATGTGGAGCTGTTTCCTCGTCATTTTTGAGAGATCGTCTCAAATACTTTATCTGTATCATCATACAGATAAAAACGGTGAGAGGTATTACGAGGAAGTAGAGGAATGCGAGAAAACCCCCAACAATTTGGGCTCTCAGAGGTTGTTCCGTGCACTTTGAGTAACCGGTGGTGTCTCTGTGACAGAGTACTGCAGCTACAAGAATAATACCTGGGATATCAAAAAATAGAATTGTAAGTAAAACTAAATATTTTCCCGGTCCATCGGATGCCAGCTCCTTATCTACACTCAGAAGGATAATAGCAGTTAGAGCATCAGAGATGTGAAGCAGTGTGACGATCAAACAGAGAACTCGAACAACTTTTTTCAAGGCCTCCGTGTTTATCCTACGAAAGGGGTTCACCACTTTTAGAGTTAAAGTGATGGTCATAACAAGGTTACAGAGCTTTGAACAGTTGATTCCGGGAAGTGCTGTCATCATGTAGTAAAACAATGTTTTATACAGGATATCTATCTCAAAATAGCCTGCGTAAGTTAAAAGACTGGTCACAGATAAAACTATTTCACCTTGTGCTTTGAGAATGTCAAACAGTGCTATCCCCATGAAGAGCCTTGACACAAACTTAGCTCTGTCCCGATAATAGTCCATGAAGATTACGGTGTTTTGAATCAGCACTATGATGGACAGAGGTATTTGTATGGGCGCGAGATCTCGGAACATTCCTTTGAACATGAACAGTACATCTTCATCACCGATGGCGATGCTGTGTAGACCCGATTGATTCATTTATATTTTCAAACTGAGGAGATAGTTTTGTAAGTAATGATTAGTTCTTAGAATAGACAAGTTACACTGTGAATTATTAAGATAACTGATCAGCCATTTCTCAGTCGTCCGTAATATATACAGCTATTAGATAGGTAATAGAATTAAGAGCTATAAGCTAAAAAACATGCATTTGGTCAGTACCAGTTTTCGAACATTTACATTGCCATTCGATTGAGAAGCTGCAGGTAGTTTTTGACAAAAGCAAACAAAAAAATTCTAAAAATTCCGTGCACAATTTTTATGTTACCACGTAATACGTATTTGCAAAGTATAGACAAAAACTGCAGTTGAGTAGGCCAGGAAAAGTAAAGGCAATATACGAGGAACCAAAATCGGTAGTATCATGTATCATTTATTCAGGTCCAGGTATCAGTAATCTTTATTATATTATTGTTGTATCACGTGGTGACCCCCACGGTCGCTTCACTATAGTGAAGGGGGAGCCGCGCACTTCCAACTTCGTGCGCGGCGGGTCATACAACGTATGACAAATATTATTGTATATTATATATATATATATATATATATTATTATATTACTTAACAGTGATTTTAGGATGGTGTGTGACTGTAACGGGTCCGCATGACTGTAAAAGTCAGTACGTTTAACGCCTCGAGGAAGATCGCAGGATTCCTAGTCTACGCTACTCTTTTCATCATGGCTACGACACTCAATTTTGGGACATGGAATGTTTGCGGTCTATCGACCACATACAGGCAACACTTCGTTGCAGAGGACATTGACAGATATAACTTAGACATTTTAGCACTTCAGGAGACCAAGACACGTGAATACTTGGAAACAACACTCCCTGGACATCATCGATTGTTTTTGTTTGATCAGAGACACGATAGACACGGTGGACTTGGGTTTATTGTTAACAAGCGTTTTTTGGAATGTATAGTATCCCATCATCAGATCAGTGACAGAGTTGTTTATATGGACTTTAAATTAAGTGCTAAAAGGGTGGATCAACCACCTTGTCATATCAGAATTGTTAATTGTTACAGCCCTACGAATCCCAAGTCAGTTCAGAATCCCCGTTTAGCAACCCAATTTTACGATGAGCTACTCGAGGCTATCAGTGTACCTGCTAGATTTGAAGTATGGATGTTAGGCGACTTTAATGCCAAACTTGGCAAAAGAAGCCCTGTTGATGTAGAAAATGGTTTACATGTGAATATTGGTAGACATGGTGTTGGGAGGAGGAATGAAAACGGTGAAAGGTTGCTACACTTTCTCACTGCTAATGGCCTGTTTGCTGCCAACACTTCATTCTCCCATAGCAGCAGACACATTACCACACGGACTGGTTGGATTCGGGATCGAGCAACCAGGAAAAGTAAACCTTATTTCCAACAGATTGACTTCATACTCTGCAAGTCCAGAAGCAAGGCACTGCTAACTGATGCCAGGTCATATGCAGGTACAAAGCACCGCAGTGACCACAAACTTGTTGTTGCCAAGGCAGATTTTTCGCAGCGCTTCATTTTGTACAGGGAGAGCAGAGCATTTCAGAAGACTTATAACACAACAACCTTGATTGGAAGCAAACAGGCTCAACAACAATATCAGCAAGAACTTCGTCAGAAACTTGAGCAAACTGTATCAGATCCTGACTTTACTTCCAACAACACGGAACAGCAATTTGATATGCTTTTTCGTGAAGTTAAAGAAGCTGCTGTTTCCACTGTGGGTTTTCGCGA